TATTTTCCTTTCATCAAATCCACATCAAGTAGAATCAATATATACCCAAGAGTAATCTCTAGGATCAGCCTCCACCTGGATCAAAAAGGTTTCTAGCCGTAAGATGAGTAACAGGATTCATCTTTTCCCATTAGAATGTTCCAGAATGAACAAGAGATAGACAATGAGAGAGAAAGAAGGATCAAGTGCCACGAAAACAATATGTAGTCCAAACTTAAACGACGTCGCTCTAGCCTTTGACTCTATAACAATAAATTGACTCCACTGTGGCAAAACATAAGCCACATCACCACAATAAGTTTATGTATTATTTGAATCCAATATCTTATTTTGCCTAAGTTTTATATAACATTCATTTAACCAAAGTAATTATAATATTGGACTGTCAAAATCTATGCATTTAATTTTTTTCCCTTTTAAATCTGAAAAATACATAATTTTATCCTCTTAATAATTTAAAAAAAAAAAAATCTCTTTAAACCCCATTTAATACCGAAAATAATTTTTTAAGCTTGATTAGGTATGTTCGTTTTATACCACTTTCCCAAATCAAACTTAATTAGGTTTTTTCATTACACATTATTTTCCTTGAATTTCCCAATTCCAGCGTATTTATTCATCATATTATGTTTACCATAGGCTTATATTATATTTTCACCAACCAAACAAATATTGAAATAAAACAAAAGGTTTCAATGATTACCAAAATTTAGGATTAGGTTATGAAAATTTAGGTTTAGATTTATGTAGATTAAATGTTAAAATTAAAATTAAAATATAAATATAGTAAGTGTATTTGGAAATTATAATGTTATTTTATAATTTAAGTAAGGTTAAATTTGTAAAAACAAAAGATAAATTAAAAAATGAGGGGTGAAATAGGGGGCTAAAATGACTTTCCCGGATTATATTCCTAAGAAAACTCACCTTGAAACTCCATGCATTATATTTATCCATAAAAAGCTAAATACGGGGCTTTACTTGTTAGTATGCCCTAAGAACCAATCGTGTCATCGGTTCCGAGGCATTATGTTTTGTATATATATGTGAATATATATAGTTTGTAATCATTTTATCTTCAATAGAAGAAAGTGTTCTTATTTCACAGTGGTTTATTGCTTCATTTTATATATTAATATGTATTACATGTGAAATGTTCGGATGATACAAATCTTTAGAAGATCAAATCATCAAAGTATTCCCTACATAGGTAATTTAATTGGGCATAAATTACATAGTAGGCATGCTGAATGCCTCTATATAATGTCATGTATGGTATTGGTGTGGGTGATTATAAAAGTTATCACTAGGGCATTAGCATGGATACGCGGTTAGTGAACTGTTTATCGAATATGGCCATTTATGATGAATCACATGGACATTTAAAATGTAGTCAATGATTTATCATAAGATCGTACTAGAGTATTTTATCCTTAGACCTGAGATATCACGTTGGATTCTGCATAAACGCATATAGTTCATATGGTGTATAAACATGAGGCTAATCATGCTATGTGTTAAAACCAATTGGTCATGTGTTGTTTAGGTGTGAGGACAAGTGATAGCAAGATGGGATCCGTTGACTTGGTATAGATTGATTCAAGTTCCTAGACAAATGTCAGATACATTGAAAAGGAAAATCTTCGGCAGGTATAAAAATGTTACATGAAAGGTTGTTTCATGGTGACACATTCTGTATGTATTGTATTAAAATTAAGATAAGGATTTTGACATACCATGAATCCATTCTTAATTGGGCTTAGATAAGAAGGATTTGATTATACAACGTGTATGTTGTAAAAGGTTCGTTAGAGTATATCTTCATTATGACTTAGGGGTTATAGAGCATTGCTAGATGCCTACTATAATCAGTGGGAGTTTTGTTTATAAGAGTTATGGCAAAACATATCAAATTAAACTGTGATATTAGACCCACGGCTAGGCCACAGTGAACCTAAGAGGTCACACATAAAACTAAGGAGAATGGAGAAATAGCCAAGAAGTTGATTATCCAAGGTTGGCTAGCACCTACCAGGTAATAAATTTTTTATATGAAATATTTTCTTTATTTAAATTGGATTTTACAAGGGGTTGTGTTGTAACAATTAAGTGTTAAATTGTTATGTAAACAATTTAAGAGTTAAATTGTTAATTGTGATTAAATGTTAATCCAATGTTATCATTTAAAGAAGTTTAACAACTTCATAACAATTATGGAATTGTTTAAGGAAGTCCAAAACAATTATTGAATTGTTTACAAGGATTCCTATATAAAGAAAATGATATATCAATTTTTGTAGAGAGAGAGAGAAAAATCTCTAAGAACCCTAAATCTCCCTCTTGATCAAATCTCTTATTCCCTTAGTGTGGATACTCTTTTGCTTAATTTCTCTTAAAATTAAAAGGCTCCAAGGTTGCTAAGGGCTTAAGGTAACATGTTCTACCTTACTTATTTCAATTTGATTAAAATTTATTTTTAAAATATGACTATACTTGTTATAATATGATATGCTTGATTCTCCATGCATCTATCTTTCATCACTGTCATTGAAGTGACATGCCAACTCTAGTCAAGCTCATGTTTACGGGTTTGGAAATGAACAACTAGATCAAGAGAGATGAAAGTGAGCTTGATGAGGGATGAGATCAACTTTTGATTTCCTTGGCTGAAATTGCCCCATGTTAGAATTGAGAGAAGCTCTAATACCATGTCAAAATTGAAATGGCAAGAGAGGCAATTTGAAGAAAGCCGAAATATGTTTGAGAGATATCTTTGAGAGGGCAAAAGAGACAACTGAATAGAGCCGGAGTATACCCAAAAGATATCTAAGATGAATTTAATTTAATTGGATTGAGTTATTGTATTTGAGTTGTGAATACACAACCTATTTATACAAAGGAAAATGCTATACTCACAACCTCTTCTCACAAACTTTCTCTCACAACCCCGATGTAGTAATTCACAATTAGTAAGCTCGTAATGGATCTCACTTGATAAATTACGAGTTGCTATATCGGAGTTGTGAGAAGAGGTTATGGGTGTAGCATTACTCTTATACAAAAGTGTGATAGCTATATAAGGATATTAAGTATTACAAATGAAAAAATTTAAATAATAAAGCAAAGAAAATCATATCTTAGCATAATTAGGAATGAGAATAATTCATATATTCTCATTCCATGTCCAAATTATATGTGAATTAATATCACATATTTTCTTCTCATATTGGCATGTCAACACCTCATACTGTTCATCATTCTCTATTGTCTGTTATCTATTCAAGGGCTTGATCCTAGTATATTAAACTTTTGGATTTGGACCATAGTAGACTTGAAATTCAAGAGATAAATTTATAATGCATGTTAGGTTTAAGAATTATTTTGCAAGTGAAAAATTCCTGAATTTTTTAGTGCATACATAAACCAGAGATTTCCCTCAATTTCTCTTCATTTTTTTTCAGGAAACAAACTCCCCATAGGCGAAGGGTTTTTCCACTTTATTATGCCTCTTTATTTCCCGCCCCAAAACCCTGGGAGTCCAAATGAGCTAAAGTTACAAACGAAGTCGAGTTACTCTATCCCTACAATATGACTAACCATGGAGAACAAGAACCAAACAGCTAGGCGGCCAATTCTGGTGATAGCCGGTCATGGTGCCCGGAGTGTGAGCTACAAGCCATTTGCGAAGTTGATTTGGAGAAGAAACACAAAGACAGAAAGACTATCTCTTTAAAACTTGCCTTATTTAGTTGGTTAAATTTATGTGTCCGAATGTCTGAATCACATCGCCATGAATTTCAATATGGCTCTAATCTTTTAACTTGTTTATATATATATATATATATATTTTGCTTTTTTCTTTTTGGAAGATGCAGCAAGTTCACAGTCCCAAGGGATTGACTTAGAGGTCAACAAAAGGTCAAGAAGGTTTGCTTCATTTGTTACTTCTTTAGTTTGAACCTCAAGTCTATTTATTGACTTCTTTGGCTCAAACCTTATGATCACCTACTATATTTGCGACTTACCTTGAAACATTGGGTCTATAGGATATTTAATAGTTCCAATGATTAGTTTGTAGGATATTCAACAACTCAAAAATTAGGTGAGATGTACGCAAGTTAGTTTGAACACCCCGGCCATAGAAAGGAAAAAAAAAAAAAAAAAGTTCATGGTCAGTTCAACAGTATAGCAGGTGGTTGAAAATTTCTACAATTTGGTTTTAGATGCTTTGGAGTTTCTCCCTCAGTGAGCGGAACTAAATTTAACTAGAATTTTCAGAATTTTCACTGAGAAATCCAAGTGATTATATGAGCAGGGCCGTTATTATGATTAGTATATAATTCATTAATTTTATGAGAAACACTTGATTTACTGTAACTCTGTAAATTTCCTGTCATTCTCCCTGCTTTCTCTTCAACCAACCACTCACATTCCATCAATTTCCATTCTAGACATCTTCACTTAAAGAACATGTTTTGTTACTTGAAAAGTACTGGTTGGCTTTTCAGTTTTAAACATTTACTTGTATTTTTTAAATTTGGTAATTGTTTTGTTGGAAAATAAATATATAACTGTCGACTTAGCATATCAGTCTATCTGATGGATTTTGTAAGTTGAAAAGGCAATTAACTTGTTGCAGATTATCAATGAACTTGACTTGCGGTTGCTGATCTCCTCCTATATCTGGTAAAATTTTGTTGGCAGGTAATTTAACAATACCCCATGTTTCAACCAACACAACCGATGAAACTGATTGTTATCTTCTGAAACAGCCTAAAACCAGTCTTTTCTTGTCCTCTCTTAAATAAAGCTCATAGCTCAAAATCTTCAAGACAGAGCCAGGGGCATTCACCACTCTGATAAACCAATTAAAAGAGACCCCCGACTGCTCTAAATATCTTTCTTTTTCATCAACAATTTTGTAAACTCAATAGCATACCCGAAAACAAAATATAAACCAGCATAATTGAGTTTTGTGTGTATAATATAACAAAAAAAATATGGTTCAGAAGAAGAAGATTGCAGTTATTAATGTGTCCGTTTTAATCTTTGTGGCATTGGTGGTGGCTATTTTGGATAGTGTTAGACGTACAGGTGCCGCCAATGGTGGTGGCGCTCTTTCGTCTCTTCACGTTACCACTACATCAAAGGCTATCAAATCCATTTGTCAACCAACTGATTACAAAGAAACTTGTGAAAAAAGCCTCGCAATTGCCGGGGGAAATTTAACCGATCCTAAAGACTTGATCAAGATTGAGTTTAAAGTCGCAATTGACGAGCTGAAGCTGGCCCTTAAAAACATATCTGCATGGAAAGAAGAAAATAAAGATCCAAAGATCAAACAGGCTTTTACGAATTGTAATGATCTTTTGGAGTCAGCCATTGAAGATCTAAAAGTCTGCTACAGTAAAATGGGTGCACTTGACATTAGAAAACCTGATGATTACATTCAAGATGTGAAAGTTTTTCTCAGCGGCGCTGCTACATTCCAAGAAAGTTGTTTCGATGAATTCAATAAGGTAAAGCGTGATTATAAAGAGAAAATGAAAACTCTTTTGAATACTTCAAGGGAGCTGACAAGCAATGGTCTTGCAATGATGAATGATTTCTCTTCAGTCCTCAACTCATCGAACATAACAAGCACAAAAATACGGCTTCTCTCTCAAGATGAATTTCCTTCATGGGTTAACGAGGGGCGTCGTAGACTCCTTGCTGAAACTCCAGGAACAATTCAGGCTGATGTTATTGTTGCTCAGGACGGTAGTGGAAAGTTCAAGACCATCTCTGAAGCTGTCAATCTTGTCCCTGACTTCAATGATAACCCTACCAATAAGTCATTTGTAATTTACATCAAAGAAGGTATTTATAAGGAGTACGTGACGGTCACAAAGCAAATGCGAAATGTTATGTTCATCGGTGATGGCCCCCAAAAGACCAAGATCACTGGCTACAAGAACTTCATTGACGGAACTAACACAATGAACACGGCAACAGTTGGTAAGTTAGTTAAAATGTTAAAACTAAGCTTACTGTTTTTAATTTTATTAACAAGTGATCTTTTAGGGTGCACGTTTATAAAATTTAATTTGTTAATGTTGCAGCCGTTTTGGGGCCCAAATTCATAGCGAAGGACATTGGATTTGAGAACACTGCGGGAGCTAAGAAGCACCAAGCTGTGGCCTTGCGTGTTCAAGCTGACCGTTCAATCTTCTTCAATTGCCAAATGGATGGATACCAAGACACTTTATACGCCCATGCTCATCGCCAATACTACCGAGACTGCACCATCACTGGCACCATTGACTACATCTTTGGTGATGCAGCTGCCGTTTTCCAGAACTGCAAGATGATATTCAGGAAACCAATGGCCAACCAGAAAGTCATCGTTACAGCTCAAGGAAGAAGCGACAAGAACTCCGTCACAGGACTTGTTCTCCAAAACTGCACCATCAGTGCTGACCCTGAATACGTGGCTGTCAAGAACACTAACCAGGGGTACCTTGGGAGGCCCTGGAAGATGTTCTCAAGAACAATTTATTTGCAGTCTGAGATTGATGATGTGATTCAGCCTGATGGATGGTTGCCTTGGAATGGTAAATTTGCTCTCGACACTCATTGGTACGCGGAATATGGCAATAGGGGTCTTGGATCTGACACGGCCAAGAGAGTTGCATGGCCTGGTATTAAAAAACTCACTCCTGAGCAAGCTGCTGATTTCACCATCGAAAGGTTCTTTGTAGTTGATTGGATTAAGCCGAGTAGTGTACCCTACAACCTGGGCATGTTTTGATTTTCAATGAATCAGATTGAAGAGGATGAAAGCTGCTAGCTTATAGTTATTCTAACTCAAATAGCTAGTTACAAATCAAGGAAATTACTTCTTGATTTGAGTAATTTAGCTTTTTTCTTTTTTTCTTTGATTTGAGTAATTTAGCATTTTTTTTTTTCTTTCTTTGGGTTGATGATTAATCAAATAATACGATAACTGAAAGGAATTAGTAAGTTTTGGTAATATTTTGGATCCTTCATCTTATTTTGCCTATGCTTTATAACATTCATTGAGGCCTAGTAATTATTCTTTATTTTTATTTTTTTCCCTTTTAGATCTCAAAAACGCGTAATTTTGTCCTCTTAATTATTAAAAAAAAAAATTATATATCTACTAACAAATTATTAAGTAAAAGGTTTTTTCTTTTTAATAATCAAGTTGTCCGCGTCAGTTTACGCGCACCTCAACTAATCCTTCGGGATCTTGAAATTATCGATCGGATAAAAATTTAAGTAGCTATCACTATGAACAACCGAGAAGAGATTCGAACTCAAAATTTTTTGAATAATACATCCAAAATTTCTACTGAACTATTCAATCATTTAGACGTAGTTGCAAAAAAAAAATTCAAAATTTTTATCTGAAAATTACGTCAAATAAACCATTAAAGAGGCTTTAATTGGGCCAATATCGGCCCGTTAAAAAATATTTAACTAGCCCAGTGGTATTCAAATAAATACACTTGACGAGCGAGCGGGAAAACAGAAACGAAAAACGCATCACTCCCTCTCTCTCTCTCTGTGAAAACAAATCCCAAAACCTCACAGGCTTCAGCTCCAGATTAAAAAATCTCACTCGATTTTCCATCACTTTCTCTTTAATTTTCTCGGGAAACAAACAATCGATAAACCCTCTATAGCCCAAGGTTTTCCGCTTTTTATTATGCCACTTCATTTCCACCCCCAAATTCCAAAACCCTAGGAATCGAAATGATCTTCAATTGCAATGCGAAGTCGAATTACTCTGCGCTTACAATATGACTAACCACAGAGGACAAGAACCGAACTGCGATGTGGCTGGTTCTTGCGGTAGCCGGTTCACAGTGCAGCCAGAGCGTGAACTACAAGCTAACTGGGAAGTTGATTTGGCGAAGAAGCTCGAAGACTATCTCTTGAAAATTTGCTCTGGTCAAATTAATGATTCCGAATATCTCATTCCCCCTGTAAATTTCGCCGAGGGTATTAGTCTTTTAACTTGCTTTTTTTTCTTTTTTTCTACATTTTGATATTTGATATTTGATTGTAATTATATTTTCTTTTTTGGGGGGGGAAATGTAGCTGCTTTGCTGGTTCAGGGTTCGGTTCAGGTGTATAGCAGGAAGGTAGAATATTTGTACAGCTTGGTTTTGCATGCTTTGGAGTTTCTATCTCAGAAAAGGTCGGATTTTTTTTTTTTTTTTCCTTCGTAAAAATAATATTCACTACGAATAATAGTATAGAAAACTGATTGACTTTTCAGTTTCTCAAATTGCATTTGTAGTTGTTAAATTTGTTTAGTGCTCTATGCATTTCGTTGGAAAGAAAATGAATAATTGTTGGAGCATATTAGTCTATCTGATGGATTATGGAAGTTGAAAAGCAGTTGACTTGTAGATTATCACTGAACATCAGTTGCTGTTGTTAATCTACTATATCTTGCAAAATTTAGATGGCAAGTAATTTAACAGTAGCCCATAGTTCAACTCAAGTTACTCGACCAAAGTGATGAAACTGTATTGTGGATTTAGATTCTATTTCTATGGTGCTTTATTCTTGTTATTTTCTTATCCAGCCAGCAGGATCAATCTGATGGGACGCCAGTCCCTCATGAAGAAAGTGGATCCCATGCAGTTTCTGACGAAGAAAATGATCTATTTTGGGGCTTGGATGACATCCCAGGTAACCTTTAACCATGTATTCTATTTGGTACAGTTAAGAGATGCTGTAGCTAAAATTTCCATATGTTGCAGTGGAAGCAAAAAATTGCTTAGACAGTCCAACTGGCAATGATAAATTTCTGAATCACTTTGTGAAGCCCCCTGCAAATTTAGTTGTTCTTGAAGGTGATTGCTTAGACTCTCCTGGTGATGGCACGGAATTAGAGTCCTATCTGGTATTACAATTGCTTTTATTGGTTTTATGTTATGCATTGACTAATAATGTAATCTAATTCTTCTTTTCTTTTTTCTATGGTTGTAGTTAGCTACCAATGATCTCTACCGGGATTTTATCCTATTAGATCCATGTGATGCTGTAGCCGTGAATGACTTTTTGGAGGGAGGTCAAGTTGGCAAAGGGCATAATGGTGCCTATAGGGGTAGTGTGTCTCGCAAGAGTTTTCAATCTCCTACAAGACGTTCTGGTGGAACTGCACATAAGTCATCTGTTGTAAAGAAAAAGAATGCTAATCTCAATCCATCGCCAAGCCTTAACATGGGGCATGATCCTCCTGCCTTTGATGATTTTGGAGAAAGTAATCATGAATTTGATACAGATGATAGATATTCGGAACCTAGGAACTTGGATAATTCTGATGATGATGATGATGAGGACGACCCTTGGAAGCCCTTGAATCCTCATGAACCAGGGAACTTGAAAATCAGGCCTTTCAAAAAAGGTTATTAAAGCATATGCTTTTTCTTACTCTAGTTGCTTACCATTATAGTCTTGTGCCAGGCCTAATGTTGTGGTTCCATAATTTTTTCCTCACGAGCAGTGAAAGTTTTCAGAAGGAATGGGGTGAAATCTACTAAACAACACTCAGTAACTACTCTGTTTCCACTTGCAAAATTGTATGGCACTATCAGTCCAGAGCTCACACAAGTATGGGAGATGCAACAAAAAGCATTTGAAAAACAGCGGGCATCCCATTCTCCTCCGTTATATGAAAAGGTTCTGCTCTCCAGATGTTGTGTTTACCCAGATTCTGTTTTATTTTTTTTTGTATAAAACCTGATGTTCATATTACAGCTCCGGCAATCACTTGCAAATGAAGGACAACAAACTTGTAATCCTTTTGGTCACCCTGACAATTTTAATGAGGATAAGGGATATGATAGTGGGGACCCAGATACTGAGCAACCTGATATTGACATGCCAGAGAGTATGTATATGGATGAAGATGTACTTCACTGTGATAAGGTTAGCAGACCAACTTTTTGAGTGTTCAAAGTCAAAATAGTAGCAAGAGGCTTTGCAAATTGCTTATTCATTGACCTTTACGCAGCATGATGATGGTACTACTCATGTTGAAACCAATGAAGCATTTGAACATGGAGTTCAAGATTCTCTTGCAAACTTAGAAGATCTTTGTCGCTCTCACCTAGTAAGCGTTAATTTCTTTTCGGTTTTCTTCTATTGAGTCTGCTCTCTGCAATTTGGTTTTACTTGTTCATTTTTCCATAGGTAATTATATTTCTGGTCTACCAGAGCATTAAATGGTTAATTGGATATCTTTTCTCTTGCAGGATGCTCTTCTTGCTAGCATAGCTGAAACCGAAAAACAGACTGAATTGGCTGCTCGAGTTTCATCATGGAAACAGAAAATTGAACACAACTTGGACGAGCAAGTAATTAGCACCACTAGTTTCATCATAATGTTATTACCTCTCTTAAGTTGGACTTTTGTTGGTTGTTGAAGTTTCTGTCTTTTGATAGGATTCACGCCCTCCATTTGATATTCATGAGTACGGAGAAAGTATTATTGACAAGCTATCCCTTGAAGGAGACCATGGAAATGTCATGTCTTTCACTGATGTGGTAAAGGGCCAAGAGAAGTATGATGTTGCTCGAACATTCTCTGCACTTCTTCAGTTGGTAATTTACTTCCTCTATTTGAAATTTTTCTGCAGTTACTGTTTGTTCTTATTGCAGTTGTATATCTTAAAGTAGTTTTGCTGGTGAATTCATTAAAAAAGAAGCTGGTACTGCTTGTTTCCTGTGATAATAGAATTGCTTTTGCATTTTAAATTTCAGGTGAACAATGGAGATGTTGCTTTGGATAGGAGTGGGATTGATGGTGAGTCCATCTGTTACACAGCAGTGAATCCTTTTCATGTCCGGCTGCTCAGCCATGAGAAGAGACAAGAAGCAACACAATTTCAGTTGTCAAAAAAAAGAGCCAAGTCTCCAACAAGAAGATTTACCAAAGGTGATAAGGGGAAGTCTGTGAGAGAGAAATCTCCAGTTGTCAATCCATCCACAGAATATGGATCGTCGGGATTGTCATCACGGCCAAATTGTAAATTTTCTATGAAGCTTCGGAAGCTTGGTGGTGCAAGGTGTACCCCTGAAGGAAAGAAGAGAAGAAGGTCTCGACTTATTGAACCAGTTGATTTACATTCATCTAGTTGACATGGATGTTATTGGCAAGTCCGGCCAGCTAGAGAATTCAACAACTTTGCTGAATGGCTCCATGGTAAATCCTAGTTGTGACATGATTGTAGTTCTAGTTAATTTACAATGATCTGTAATTCACTCTTTAAATTATTATTAGACATGTACTTAATAGTCAAGACCCTGTAATAAAACTATAAATTCCTTGTAGAATGAACTTGTTCTTGTACCATATAATACCACTAATATGCTTTTGTCAATCTTCAAAAATAGCAAGAGATCACCATTTCAAAACTTCTTTTCGTAAATTTATTAAAACTCTCTTATCTTTTTTTTTTAATACGATCAGAGGCATTTAGGTCAATTTATACGTACTTTGATTAATCTTTTAGACTCTGAAGTTAACAATTAGGTAAACCTTTTAATGGTTATCTCTATTAATAACTAAGTAGAATCGAATTTAAGAGTTTTTTAACAATATATTTAAAGGTTCTTATTGTTGGATCACTTAGGAGTGGTTAATTAAAACTCTGACAATTGAGATAAGGAGGTTTCTTCGTAAGTGTCAATGCTTGAAGTCCTTTTCAGTTAGTTAGTGATGTGTTTTAAGAGTATGATTCATCCTATTGACTATCACTTCAAAGTTGCCAGGGATTTTCACAAGGATGCAGCCGGGCATTAGGTATAATAGTCTCATATTTGAACACAAATTCCTTGTCAACTAAGAATTATATGGGAGTGAAGACTCAAAAAGTGTTTTAGCTGACCAAGAAACCCACTAGTTGAATACTACCATCGTTACTGCTTAAGTAATTGCTTAAAGCTTTCCCACTCTACGTGTATGCCACTAACTGATTCGTCGAAAAGGTTACTTGCTCTCTTCATCTTACCAACCAAATTAAACAACCCACGTCACGCCAGCTATGTCTCAATCTCCTCAAAATAATAAACGAATCGAGATGAAAGAAGCGCGTTTAGGAACAGATCTTGGCGTGTCACTGTAACTGGGACATGGTGATTAGGTCTAGTCTATGGATTAGGCATACCTTAGCCCCTCCATGATCTTTTGTTGGAATCACAGCCATCTCACACTTTGATGAGCTTCAGTACTGCTTTGGCTTTCTTTTCTTGATTCAACGTCGAGAATTCAACAATTATATGTGTTCTCACTAGAATATCAAAATTTTGCAATTAAAAGGAATCTTCAATCACATCAATATGCATGTTATGGGGTTGCAAATGGGACAGCAGCCTAACTGTAAATCAATCTCGTCACACCGTTGTCGTCAGTGTCAAAAATAAGATGGCCAAGCTTTTAAAAATTCCTGTTAAATACAGAAACTAACAATGGCAGAACAGCGGAGGAGTCAAAATCTTAACTATGTGTTTGAAGCTTCGAGTGAGTGGTTAAACTTAAAGCATTTTTCTCTTTTTCTGGAGAGGCCCCCGCATGGATGCTGAAGGAATCACGGGCTGCTGTTGTTGCATGTTGTTTTGGTTTGGGTCAAACTAAGACAACTTCAGCTTCAACAGGTAACCCACTATTCTTATTATTATTATTATAAATTATGCACACTTATATTTTGGTGGAATGTTGTTTGGATGATGGGAATGGTCCAGGAATTTGAAGATGCTCTCATATTTGGAGTTTGAACTTTGACATTAGTGAATGGTCAGATCCCAGTAATTTTCATTATAAATGATGTAATATATTGAAATGGTAAGTTTGGGGTAATTTTCATCAAAATTTGTTGTGACAAAGAGTCGAGGGGGTTGAGCCAATCCTTGGTAAAAAGAGAAGGTGCATGCAAGGTAGATGAGTTGGTTTTGGTAGAATTTAGAACACAAAAATTTTCAAAGTACTGACAAGTGAAAGACTGTGTTGATACTTGATTTTGACACCAACTATTCGCACGTGAAAAATACTAAAAAGAATTAAAACTCATAGGTGATATGAGAGTATTGAATTTAATAAAGGGTAAGAAGCAATGTTTAAAGTAGTTTGGATGTTCAAAAGCGAATCTTATGTCTACTGATATTGTATTAATGAGTAAGATCAGGTCACGTTAAGCGAACTGAGTTACAACTTAGAAAATACAAGAGAGGAGAGTAAGCTATTTTAGAGTGAAATTATTTAATTTCGTAAATGAGAGAGAATACCTTTATTTATAGTGGGATAAACCAAGGTCATGAATACTAATTCTGCAAATAGGTGGATAGCATGCAAATTCTTCTTTGCGTCCTATTGCTCACATATTCGAGTGATTTTCTCAATTTATGCACAGATTGGACACGTGGACGATATCCAACCATTCGCTAGCCTAGCACTCACCCACTGCACTGACAGAAGCATGCCACTTACGTCATTATGCGACGTGGGTGCGTATGAACGGTCACAGAACTTTCCCAAGTTCTGATCATCCCATGTTGACAAGACTCCTCGTCAACCCTACTTTGTCAGGCATAACATGCTAAATCCAGCTCAGGCAGAGATTCCTAACTGATTTAATTTTAGTCCACCCTTTCACATTAAAGATGGATAAATTTCCAGGAATTATGCTGTAGAATTTCACAAACAAAACAAGAATCCAAAGCTGTTGAGAATCCATGGCTTTCGCTTATTATCAATTTAATAATTTTGCTTTCCCATTTTCAAGTCTTACCACGTTAGTCACTCCATATTAATAGATAATAAAGACTTTTAAATATATTATCGATAGAACGATAGGTCTTAACTTCGATTCTGTTGTCAATAAGAGTGGTATTGGAAGATATACCCATTACGAACTTCAAAGTCCTAAAAAAATTAATTGAAATTGATTTGGATACTCCTATCAACAAAAAGGAAAAAAATACTTAACCATATAACTTTAAGTCAATTAATTATAAATTTCAAATGGTAATTGATTAGAAGTGTCTCATCAAAATATTAGAAATTTCAAGTTCCAACACCTGAATACACAAAAGTTCATATTACTTACAATAAAATTAAAATTTAAAAAAAAAAAAAAATCGCTTTAAAAGAAAAGAAGAAAAAAATCAATGAGATTTATATATGTATGTATACAGGTCAACATTTTAAGAAAAATCCACTGAAAAACTAATATCTGCCACGTGTACATACTCGGCCAATCACCTCGAGACCAGTAAACTCCGATTTCTAACAATCCTAGAATGTCTTCAGCCCTACTAAATATCCGCCACGTACCGCATCCACTCTAACTCACTGAGTCACTACCGGGTCGACACCGAGTCTGTCCAGTCCTCTACTCTCTACCTCGCTCGATATCTAACTCAGTGAAAGTCCCACCACAACAAGCGGTATTACCTGAAGGAGATGAATTCCCTCTTCTTTCTCTGCTTAGAATCCTCTTAAACGATAACATACGACTCACTGGAGATCGAAACGAAGACTGAGTCTGAGTCTGACTAGACGCTGAGTCACAACCGGTTGACTCGTTCTCAAAACCTTCGTTATAATTCCTTGTCGGAACCTCTATCGACACATTTACAAACTCCCTCGGCTTTCCTCTATCTTCAAACGACGATGTTCCCACCAGTTCGTCCTCGTGTTGACACGTCACACACAACCCGGAACTTGAACCCGGCTCAGTCACCGAAACCACCACATGAGTCGGGTTTTCGGGTTCATCTGGACACGGCTCCACAGGGGACCGACACAGAGGGCAAGTGGAGTGGGAGTGGAACCACATGTCAATACATTCAATATGAAAACTATGCTTACACTTGGGCAATACCCGACCCGATTCGTTCTCTTCAAATTCGGACAAACAAACGGCGCAATCGAGAGACTCGGGGTGGGTCTTGGAGGAGTAGACGAAAACAGGAAGCGATCTCAAGACAGCCGCGTCGAGGCCGCGCGTGGCGGTGGCCATGGGATTCGGATTGGCGGGGTCAACATAGAAGACAAGATGCGTACGACGGTGGTAGCGGCTACGGCGGATTTGGCGGCGACGTGCGTTGAGTAGGTACCAGCGAGCGTAGAGGTGTAGACACACTATTAAGATAACAACGAAGAATAAAATAACGATGGCGCTGAGCATGATTTTGCCACTGAGGGCATAGCCTTTATCGGGCGCGTATAAATCGGGCCGATCTCCGAATTCGTTGCTCATTTGAACTTTGGTAGTTGGGTAGACTAGTGAGAGAGTTGAAACTTGTAAGAAGTAAAGAGTGAGAGGTTTAAGGTAATGAATGGAATGGGGGGGGCGAAGATGGAGAGAAATAAGGAGGCAGGATTAAGAGACTTAAGAGGAAAGTTCTTGAGGGTTTCTTTTTAACTCTTAAGCGGCTTAGGTTCCCACCTGCTCCCGCTATTCCTGTTCCTATTACTATTCCTATTCCTATTCTTGTACCTCTCTATTACACTCTAACAGACGCCAGAGTGGACGCGGGATTTTTCTATTTACTCTTTCTACCCTTCCCTCCTTGGCTCCTCCATTTATTTTGTCTAAATTCTTAATTGACGTTAGATCATAAGATTAGCAATTAAATATCTTTTAGAGGGTATTTAAGTGGAGGATTATGTTCCTGATTATATATATACGGTTACAGGTAAAATAATTATGAATATATTTTATTCCATTCCATTGGGTTAATAATAATATAAAAAAAAAAAAAACAAAAAAAGCTTGGAGTTTTATGGATTAGGTCTGTGTTGACCAGCCATGAGTAACCAACCCGAAGTCATCCCGCGTTAACTTCCCGTATGGGCCCTACGGCCCAAATCAGTCCAAATTTGGGAGCTGGTGCTTTGAATTCAATTATGTGATTCATGCCATTTGCTTGGCAAGATTATTATTAATTAAATATGGATTGACTTCAGCTTCATTTGTTATGGTCACATTTAATAATAGGGTAATGCTATGCTTACTCACAATCTTACTAACAATCTTACAATCTTGAAAAATATAACAGTATAGTATGAGTATCATATGCATAGTATTTATACTATACCGTTATATTTATCAGGATAGTAAAATGGTTAGTAAGATTGTGAGTAAACATAGTTTTATTGTTAATAATAAAGAAAAGTTTCATTATTCTTTTTTTTTTTTTAATAACTGAGCATAGTTTTACTGTTAATAATAAAGGAAAGTTTCATTATTCTTTTTTTTTTTAATAACTAAGGTATCCATGCACAATTGCCAGTCGTCCAACTCTTAAGGTCACAAAACACTTAACAAATCCAACGAACTAAAGAAATTGCACAATTATTATAGGTGTCTCTACTGACTCGAACACAAAACCTAATTTTATTGTTCCTTCGTAAATGGGTATACAGATTCTTAAGAAAATTTAGTTTGTAGTTTACTTTAAGAATAACAAGGAAATATTTTATTTTTAAATAAATCAAACAAAAAGGATCAAAATATTGATTAAGATATAACAATTTACTAATTTCAAATATTTAAATCTCTCATCGATTTAACCCAAAATAATAATAATAATTGAACAGCATCCAAATATATGTATTTCAATTGGGTTCATAAATTAAATTAAATTTTAAAATTTTTTATTGCTTTAAAGAAACCACCTCTGTAGATTGTAATAACCTATAACCAATATTACATAATAAAGAGTTAATGATATTCATCCCCTCGTATACAATAGCAGATCCATAAATTTATGTTAGGGTGAGCCAAAATAAAAATTAATTACACATTAACATTTTTGTCCATTAATATTTCTGTTAGGGTGAACCAAAATTCAGAAATTGTACATATTATATTTTTTTTTAAATTGAGGGTGGGTCATACAAGTGCTAGATTGTATACGATATAATATCAAATGGAATTTTTTATTTTCTTAAATTATTTTATTTCTAACATGAAATGAATTTGTATATTACGGGTATCTATGTCATTTTATGATAACTTGGTTAAATCTAACCAGAATTTACCCTTACGTGTCCTTTAATTGATGGGAAAAAAAAAAAAAAATTGCATTTTTTTTATATTGGGTTTTGGAAAATTATGTCCGCAAAATGATGATAACCTTTTTCGAAATAACAAAAATCTTTCTGTGTTAATGAATCGGGAATGAACCATTAAAAATTAGTAAATATTACTATATTAACCTGATACCATTTATTTTAACACTCCAAATTTAATTACGGAATGATTTTTATTATTATATCGTATCTCATGGATAAAGTATTAACTTCATAATAAATTAGTGTATTTCTAACTTTTTTTCACCCATTCATGCTCGAGCCCAAGCCCATGAGCCCATGCGTGATGCGTGCATTGAAACGAGGAGCTGGCGGGAAAGTAATTAAATTAATAAGGGAGAACGGGAATTTCCCACCCAGGGTTTGGCGAAACAACTTTTCCCACCTGCCAAGTTTAAAAACGACACTTTCCCACCCATTGTTAAATTTATACGTTAATTTTAACAGTAAAAAGGGTATTTTTGTCAGTTCACAATATATATATATATGTGTTGTGTTAATTAATAAATCTGCCAATATATAAATAATTTAATATCATATGAATATTATGAATAAAAAAATTAAACTTAAATCTTTCATACAATAAAAATTTTACATAATTCTTCCATATAAAAAGATTATAAATAATTCTTCTCTAAGACCAAATTTGTTTTTCATAATTCTTCAATACAACTAGGAAATTACTTCACATTAACCTTTCCTACAATCCAGATTTTGCTTAAAATAACTCTTCTGAAAAACCAGAATTTAGTTTGGGTGAGGAATTTCGTCTAAATAAGTGGTGGGTGGTAGTATGTGGGAAGGTTGTAAATGATGGGCACTCGCGGCGACCAGGTAGTTACACAAACATCAATCAAATAAAATAGAGAGAGAGAATTGGAAGAGAAGGAAAAGAGCAAGGATTTGCCTTCACAAATTTTAACCCAAAATTGGTTCAAATACATCTTCCAAACAACCAAAATTTGCTATACAAAAATATTCACTTCTAATTCCATAAAAAATTCCTCCACCTCAACTCCATGAACATAAATTCATAAAAAAGAAAAAAAAAAAAAAAAAAAGAAGATACAAAATCAAACCCATAAAATCCATGAAAATAAATCCTTTTGACACTAGCTGTGTAACATAAATTCTAGAGCAAGGTTGCCAACACTGGCGGGCTGGCGGCTGGGGTCGTGAGTAATTGTGTGGGCTTTTTGGAGGAGAGAGGGAGGTTGCCACCAAAGGCCCTCTGATTTGACAAAGAAAAAAAAATTTGGGCAAGAAAATAGAAAGCATAGTCTAGCAGGTTCCACCGTTCCAGACTCCGAATTAAATCTAGAGAGAATAAAAAAGGAGAAGTTAGCTGGGAAAAAGCGCAAGCTTTATGAGCAGGAGGTAAATATAAACAAGCTGGAGGAGTTTCCGAAAAAGGAGAGCCAACAGAAAGGTAAGGAACATCGAAACGTGGTTGAGACTTACCAGCTAGCTAAAGAAGAAACAAATATGACACCGTTGGTGGCGCTGCTGCTGGCTTGCCATGAACAAGAGGGAGTGGTGGCGTCGGTTAGGCGGTGGGAGAGAGATGTTTTTGCATAAAAATGATAGTGAATTTTTTAAAAGAAAAAAGATTTAGAATTTTTTTTAATTATAGCAAATTTTATAAATTATAAACTCAAATAACAAGGGGCGCGTTTGGTGTAGTATTTTGGATAGAATTTTGGGGATAGTATTGGGTTGTTAGATAGGAGAGTATTACGAGGTAAATTTTAAAAATTTATGAAAAAAGCCCTTAGGTTTACTAATTTAATTAAAGACCCTAATATATAAAAAGACAAAAACACCCCCACCATCTACAATGCCAGATTTCGGCCACTACTGCCAGAATCTGGCCAGAAAATTTCGTTACGGCACATACCGGTCGGATCTATGCCGTAACGAGTCATTATGGCCTTTTCCAGCCAGATCCACCACGAATCTGGTCGGAAAAGGCCAGATCTACGGCCTGTTATGGCCGTCGACGGCTGGAAATGCGAAAACGACGGCCAGATTCGTGGTGGATCTGGCTGGAAAAGGCCAGAGCGGTGAAATTTTGACCTTTATGGTCGGAATTTAGGCCGTTGTACAGATTCCAGCTATCATCGACGGTGGTTGCTGGAATCTGACAAGTTGGGTTGATGGGGGTGTTTTTGTTAATTTTTAAACTTTTTTTAGGGGGTATTTAGTAAAATTAATAACCTTGTGGGGTCTAAAAGTAATTAAAAATAAGATAATATTTCTAAAATAGTGTGCCAAACATTATTTAGAGGATAAGATTGAGAATATGGATAAAAATAGGGAGTCAAACGCACCCATCATATTATTTTGTAATGTTATCTTTGTCAAATAACAGATTTCATTAACGGATCTTAAGGAAAAGTGTCATTTTGAAACTTAACGCGTGGGCAAGTGTCATTTCGCCAAACCTTGGGTGGGAACAAGTCGTCGTCCCAATTAATAATGCACGTGAGCTTTTGGTTCACTTAGAGTCTTATGACTGCAATTACTATACTATTAATTTAAAATTGGATTTCATTGGATATTTAAATTAAAAATTAAATGCAGCAAAGGATAACGATAATCACAGCTAACTTAAAACCGCATTTAATGGGTAAATTCTTGTCTATCTACCCGACCCGTTCAATCCGATTTAATAAACATTCCCTGCTATGTGTTTTAGTAATTGTAAAAACATATAAACATAGTTATGCATACTTTAACTAATTTTTTGGGATCCTAGAACTATCAAATGAAACAATTACAGTGGCTACCCCTATTAATACTTGAGAAAGAATTTAAACTCAAAATCTCTTAAATAATATACCCAAAAATCTTTACGAAACCACACAACCACTTTTATTCATTGAAATTTCAAGAGAAAATTGCATCTAAACAAAAATTACATCTTTATTTTCAAAATTGTTTTATTTTGAGTTGATATTCCATGATTATATTAGAAGACATCAATTTCACACAAAACAACGATACTTGGGTTTCCGTGTAAAATTATGTACATGATTTAATAAAACATATAATTGTAAATATGAATAAAATCATGTGAGTTTTATTAAGAATTGAAATATAAATCCTACTAGAAATAGAATGTCTTATATATTACCTATAAAATTTAAGATTATGAAAGAATATGATAATATAGAGTATTTGATGTAAATGTTATTAACATGGAGTGTCTTAGAAACTAATCAGGGTGTGGTTAGAAACTAACATTGTTTATACTCTCTTAATTATGTACTGGGTTTATGAGATTGTGTGCTTTTATATACCGTATTTATGAAGCCACAATGGATTTCTCTCCTCCGTGAATATAAGCAGGTTATACCAACGTGTCTATTTGTGTAATATGGTTTTATTTATATGTTATTAATCTTGAATATATGTTTTTAACTGCATAATTACTATATAGTAACTAAATGTTAGGCAAGATGAATTTTATTTTTTTCACATCTTTTAAATAATAAGAAAAAGTAAACCACCTTTTTCCACCCAAGGTTTGCCTTAATGAACTTTTCCACTCAAAAAGTTTTAAAATACCACTTTTCCACCTAAAGTTTATATTCTCTTAATACCCAAAGCCAATTTCGGTCACGAAAATTCTCTTATGGTCTATTCTCTACAAAACCCCTCTCACTCTGACACCTAATTTTTTGTTGATTGTCAACCACCACAAAGTTGGGGTTTAACGACCTCAAAGCTAGAGTTTTCTGTTCCTAACTAATTTCTAACGGTGAATATTCAATCGATTACCACTATTTGATCCACCAGTCTTCACTCTACAAAACCCTTCTTACCCTGGTTCTTAGTAACTCGCCGAATACCAGCTGAGAAAGTGAAGTATATTTTAGATATTAACGGAATATTAACTTTGGATGGAAAAGTGATATTTTGAAACTTTTTGGGTGAAAAAGTGTCATTAAGGCAAACCTTGGGTGGGAAAAAGTCGTTTACTCTAATAAGAAAATATATATGATTTTAGGCATACCCAATATTTTAAATAAAAAGAAACGTAAATTGTTTTATTTGATCCAATTTCAAAATCAGACGGATAGAGTAAAATCCAAAACAGTCCACATCTTATTGGGCAGCAGATCGCATGGTTGAAAGCAAAGTTCACGCATAAGAGGCGCCTCTGGGGACTCTCCTTGTAAATATAACATTACTCAATAAAGAAAGAGAGAAGGAAGATTAATAACGTAATCATCTTCCATCAAAGTTCTAAATCCGTGTTAATCAATAAATGTATGTTTAATTCATTAAATTTATTCTGCACCATCAGCATTTACTTTACTAGGGTTTACCATTACCAACGGCATCTTGAGCCCCCAAAGTCTTCTTTTTCATTCCTAACCCTTAGGTTTACTAATTTAATAAAGACCCTAATATATAAAAAGACAAAAACACCCCCACCATCTACAAGTGCAGATTTCGGCCACTACTGCCAGAATCTGGCCAGAAAATTTTCGATCAAAAATTAAACTAAAATCTTTCATACAATAAAATTTTACATAATTCTTCCATATACCGAAATCTTCCATATAAAAAGATTATACATAATTCTTCTGTTTGATCAAATTTGCTTTTCATAATTCTTCAATACAACCAAGAAATTACTTCACATAAACCATTCATACAATCCAGATTTTGCTTAACAGAACTACTCTGAAAAACCAGAATTTAGTTTGGGTGAGGAATTTAGTCAAATAGGTGGTGGGTGAGTTGCCTATGGGAAGGTTGTAAATGATGGGCACTCGCTGGTGACCAGGTAGTTACACACAACATCAATCAAATATAGTAGAGGGAGACAATTGGAACAGAGAAGGAAAAAGAGCAAAGGATCCCGCCTTCACAAATTTTCAACCCAAAATTTGCTTTACAAAAATGTTCACTTCTAATTCCATCAAAAATTCCTCCACCTCAACTCCATGAACATAAATTCATAACAAACAAAACAAAACAAAAGAAAAAGAAGATACAAAATCAAACCCATAAAATCCATGAAAATAAATACAAAAATAAATCCTTTTGACATTGGTTGTGTGACACAAATTCTAGAGCAAGGTTGCCAACACTGGCGGCTGCGGTCGTGAGTAATTGTGGTGGGCTTTTTGGAGGAGAGAGGGAGGTTGCCACCCGAGGCCGTTTGATTTGACAAAGAAAAAAAAATTTGGGCAAGAAAATAGAAAGCACAGTCTAGCACGTTCCTGACTCCGAATTAAATCTAGAGAGAACAAAAAAGGAGAAGTTAGCTAGGATGAAGCGCTTACTTTATGAGCAAGGGGTAAATATAAACAAGCTGAAAGAGGTTCCAAAAAAGGAGAGCCAATAGAAAGGTAAGGAACACCAAAATGTGGTTGAGACTTACCAGTTAGCTCAAGAAGAAACAAATATGACACTGTTGGTGGCGCTGCTGCTGGCTTGCCATGAACAAGAGGGAGTGGTGGCGTTGGTTAGGCGGTGGGTGAGAGATGTTTTTGCATAAAAATGATAATGAAAAAAGAAAAAAGATTCAGATTTTTTTATTTTTTTATTATAGCAAATCTTATAAAATTATAAACTCAAATAATAAGGATATTATTTTGTAATTTTATCTTTGTTAGATAACAAATTTCATTAACGGATATTAACTACGGGTGAAAAAGTGTTATTTTGAAACTTGACAGGTGAAAAAGTGTTATTTCACCATACCTTGGGTGAAAAAAAGTCGTCCTCCCAATTAATAATGCACGTGAGCTCTTGGTTCACTTAAGGGGGCGTTTGGTTCAGGAATGTTAGATTACTAGGAATGTTGGATCACTGGAAAGATAGATTATCTTGGAAGATTACTAAGAATCTTTAGAAAAATGTGTTTGGTTAGTTGGTGGGTATTTTATATTAATTTGTTTGGTTATGGGGAATAAATTGGTGGGTATGTTATTTAAATTACCAAATTGTGCCCTTTTTAAATATTAATATAATATTATTTTTATTATTAATTTTTGAATAATTTCTTTTAACCTCCAATATTTCAGATTTAGTTAAAACACCCTCGCTTATATAAAACTATAATTTATTACGAAATCACCCCCACCACCTGCCACCACCTGCCGCCACCGTAGACCACCGCCGGAAGTCTCCGAAAGTCCCCATCAGCAGCTGACTGTGACCAAAAGACTTCTATATGGCCGTTTCTGGCCATCAATATGGCCGAAAACGACCATATCAGGCCAAATCTGGCCATTATCAGCCAGATCTGGACGAGATCTGGCCGTTAGTGGCCAGATCTATTCCGACCATAATAGATCTGGCCGATAATGGCCAGGGATCTGGTCGTTAGCGACCAGATCTGGCCTGATATAGCCGTTTTCGGCCATCAATATGGCCGTTTTCGGCCATATCGAAGCCTCCCGGAGTCTCCCACCGAGTCTCATTCTTTTTTAGGGACACCGGTGATTTTTTGCCGGCGGCCCATGGTGGTTGGCCGCTGTCGGCGGTGGTGGTTGGGTGGCAGTGGTGGTGGTGGCTGGGTGACAGTGGTGGTCTGTAAATTATTTTAAATATAAGGGTATTATTGTCTAAAATTTTAATTAAACAGGGGTAAAATTGAAATAGGATATTAATATAAATTTGTTTTAAAGTATGGGTATTATTGTCTAAAATTTTTATTAATAAGGGATAAAATTGTAACAAAAAAAGATAACCCTGATAATCTTAGAATACCTAAGAAAATTGAGGTAATCAGATTACCTCCGATATTACCAATAGTAACCACTATTGATATTTGAAGATTATTGGTATCTTATATTACTTGATAATTAAACATAGTAATCAAGTAATATAAGATGACGTTACCTCAATAACCCCTTATAACCTCCACCCAAACCCCCTAAGGGTTATGACTGCATTTATTATACTATTAATTTAAAATTGGATTTCATTGGACATTTAAATTAAAAATTAAATGCAGCAAAGGATAACGATAATCACAGCTAATTTAAAACCGCATTAAATGGGTAAATTCTTGTCTATTTACCCGACCCGTGATGTTTTCATTTCAATTAATCACGTGATGTTCACGCCTGCTGAAATGCTCTTTCTCACTTCACACTTCAATCCGATTTAATAAACATTCCCTGCGGCCTGTTTTAGTAATTAACGGAATATGAATTTTGGGTAAGAAAATAGTATTTTAAAACTTTTTGGATAAAAAAATCCATTAAGACAAACCTCGGGTGGGAAAAAGTTGTTTACTCTAATAAGAAAATATATGATTTTAGGCATACCCAATATTTCAAATAAAAAGAAACGTAAATTGTTTTATTTGATCCAATTTCAAAATCAGACGGATAGAGTAAAATCCAAAACAGTCCACATCTTATTGGGCAGCAGATCACATGATTGAAAACAAAGTTCACACATAAGAGGCGCCATCACTCAATAAAGAAAGAGAGAAGGAAGATTAATAACGTAATCATCTTCCATCAGATTTCTAAATCCGTGTTAATCAATAAATGTCTGTTTAATTCATTAAATTTATTCTGCACCATCAGCATTTACTTTACTAGGGTTTACCATTACCAACGGCATCTTGAGCCCCCAAAGTCTTCTTTTTCATTCCTTTTTATTTTTTTATTTTTTTATTTTTTTCTAACACCAAAACAGATGAGACACGCAGAAGCCTAAAGGATTTTGAAGAAAAAAATGTCAAACAAGACTCCCATTTTTCCCGTGCCTGAGCCTCAACACTTCAGTGACTATGGCTTTGACCCTCAAATCGATTACTTTCAGGTCTCATTTACTTGTTTTCTTTGTCTTTGTTTTTTTCTTTTTTTGGTTGCACAAGCTTTGTAGTGTAGTGTTATTGACTCGTTTGTTGAACACAAGGTGTTAGAAGAAGCGAGGAAGCAGAAGAAAGAGTCATCAAGATCCATAGACTCGTTGCACTTCAAGCTTCAGAAACCCATTTCAAAAGAAGAGTCCAAGGTCAAGAAGACCCTCCACAACAAGGCCAAGAAGAAACGTTGGTGGAGAAATGCTTTCTTGTTCTTCAAATGGAAGTGGATCTACAACAACCACCATGAATATGATGCTAATAACAATCTTGAACATGATGTGCATTATGCAAGAGCTAGAGCTTTCAGGGCTTCAGTATCAGGTCCGGTTTATATAACCGAGAGCAGAAGCGGGTCAAGTACTCCATATAGAAGCATAAGCCGGCCGACTTCCGGCCCACTTGCCGGAACTCTCTCTCCGGTGAACAAGAGTGAGTTTCAAGTTCCTTACTTGAGTCTCAGAGAGCTCAACATGGAGCAGCAAGAACACCAGAGGATGTCTACTTCTTCAATGCCGATATATCTGGTCACTTAGAAGAAAAAGATGCACTTTACATATATAATAGTATATTTTAATTTTTTTTCCTTAAAGATTTAGTTTTTTGAGCTCTATGAAGCTTTGGTAAGAACCTGTGGTTGTGGGGGTCTCTAATGTTTTTGGATTTGCCCCCCATTTGGTTTCTGCAAATTTAACTGCAAAGGTGTTTGTTTGATTGATCCTTTGGCTACGGTTGAGGGAGGAAAGGCTGAATCCTCCTCCCCCTTTTTGTGTTCATTTTCTACTTGATCACTTTATCGATTTCTGCAACTAATGAACTCGTGCTTTGACTCGGTTACTTCATATTTCCTTTCTTTTATTTTAATGAAGAAGTGTCTGTGTGTGCTGTAGGCTATACAGTACTGATACTAACCATTTATCACAAATTTTGATATCATTTCATTTAATGTAATCTTGATGATGATTTCTATACGGTTTGAATTGGTTGTTGGATCCAAATCTAACAAATACCATCCTGGGGTCGAGCTATGTGGTTTCCGGCCACGTGTCTGCTGGGGTCCAATGTAGCCCATTGTTTGATAAACGAACATAGTTTGGTAACCGTGTGATTGGTCCATGAAGCAATCAGCAGCGTTAGTGTTAAGCAAGTTCAACGGCCAGTAAATAAATAAACAAAACAAACAGAGTGAGCAAGTATGAGATTTTTGTTAAGAGAAAGAAGCAACATGGAAAACGGAGTGGAGTGAAGGGTCGATTTCAAATTTAATCGCAAATCCCCACAAGCTTCCAAAACAACAAGCGGCGCATAATGAGCGTATTTGGCTGCTTGATGGTTGCGGCAGCAACAGGACACTAGCCCCTTCTACCTAACCTGCTGACCACGTTTCTTGCTCGTCGTCACTGTAACGTGGGTTTGTCTGCCGGGCATTGGGAGAGAAAATGGAGCCATTCCTGGTGATGGGTCGCTTGGGTTGCTTAGCTTTGTTAATTTACTATGGCACCCAAGACACAACAGGCGTCCCATTAAATAAAGTCTCTTATATAAAAGGTGTTCTTTTGTTTTTTAGTTGATCAAGAGTGTTCGGATAGTACTCACACCTTAACTAATTTTTTGAAACCTTAAAATTAACAACCGAATAAACTCTTTAATAATCATCCTTGTTAGCAATAAAAGAAAAGTTCTTATCGAATATGGCCCGGTGGGTTATATAAAGGGTGTCCTTTAGGTACTAACTCTTTGACATTATTACTTATCTTTAAGTGTTAGGTGTGAGCGGTAGGAGACTAGGAGTTGGGTACCTATCAAGAAACCGAATTTCTTGTACAAATTAATTATGATATCATTAATAGACCATTGGAGGAATGTCCTTTTTTATATTATAAAACATAATATTTCTAATTAATAAAACATTACAGTATATCGAAATTTCAACAATTCAACTTCATGAGTTTAATTTTAATGTTCCACAAATGACCTTCAAGGAGATCACCACCCATCCAAGCCCATGTTCAAAAGCTCCACGTTAGGTTTTCTTTTTATTGGGCCTCCTTGAAGGTTCTCTAATTGGTTTGAAATGGGTTTTCTTGTTTACATATTTTGGGCTTAATGGTGAAGACGTTTGTGTTATGAGTTATTATTGGATTAAAAAATTAAATCAAGCTAATATTATATTAGAGTTTTTTAAAGATTACATACTTGCTGAAATGGGAAATTCTCTTTAGTCTTCTTGCTTTAGAGATAGCTTCAAATGCAATTCAATGTATGCGGTATCAACTTTTTATATGTTTTGTCTTAATTGGTATGATTTTTAAATGATTTTGTTTGAGTCGATAGAATGATAAGCAAGATTTGAATGAGAAAGAGAAACTATCTTATTTATTATGAGATAAAAAGAGACCAATTCTAGAGGATGGTTAATGGACTCCAAAGATTAGTTGAAGTACTTGTAAATTGATCGAATACTTAAATTATCAAAAAAAAAAAAAAAAAAAAAAAAAAAAAAAAAAACCACTTATTATTAGAGATAAAAAGAGACAAATTTTACAGGAATTTATTATCTAGTTTATATAACGAACAATATCATGTCTCCCACCGGAAACCACATATCTTTGACCATCCTTTGAAATGTTCCATTATAATTGGTAAGAGTAATTAAACATTTCGTACATATTGTTTTTGGGTAAGATTGTAATGGATATTTGTTGTTAAGGATGATTTCAGCAAGTTATTTTTTAACCCTCGAGGTTTAATCAAGTACTTAGTTTTCTATGAGATTTTAGAAATAACAATTTTTTTTTCCCTGTTATTTAATTGTTAGAGTTTATAAAGTGATAGGTGAATGAATATTTATTTAATTATCCTTTTGTTGTTTATTTTAACACCTAAAAATTAAAAGAGATTTATATTATTGCTATTGGGAATTTTTGTTATTTGATTTTTACTTAGATAGGAGTATTGATATTAGCCCTTTATTGTAAAACAAAAAGCTTAAAAGAATTATTTCTACTACCCCTTCTTTTAGAGATGTTAAACTAATTATTTTTGTCACCTATCTAACACAAATCAGAGGATAAGCATTAAATTATGCCGTGATTTGACACATTTAACAGCAAAATGTTAGAGAAAGCCCATATGAAACAAGAGTACACAACTTTTTTCTCCCCCAAATAATGCAATGACACTTTTTCGCCAATAACTTTTAAAATACTACTTTATTATCCAAACGTTATATTTCATTAATAATTTTCATTAGATATAGTGATATTCATTGTGAAGAAGAAAATGTCTTTCTTCTTCTTCTTTTCTTCTCTTCTTAGCCTCTTCCATTGTCGACAATTGTTACCGGCCTTTTGTTGAACGATTGGTTTGCATATTGAGAATGGTGGAAGGCGATGGCGTTGGAGAGTGTCGGTGATCGGAAAATCAACAAACAAACCTGAAACCATAGACACTTCAAATAAACCTCCCTTATTCATCTTTCAACCTAACAAACACAAAAAACTGAATGAATCAAACTCAATTCATCAATCAAAACCTGAAAAACCCTAGGTTGGAGAAACCTCAATCGTCAACGATTGGTGAGCAAACAAGATTGGGAATGTTGGGGCTTCTAGAGAGGAAGAGCCGATGAATTGATTGGTCGTGACAAGAACGATTTTTGGTGACAGAATCAACCAGAAAAGCAAACAACGCGCAAAAACTAATTGAGCTGACGGCTGAGAAATGGTTGAGACAAGGGTGGGATGGCAGTAGGTTTTGGCGAGGGAGGTGACGAGAGTATTTTGGTGGTGGTAGGGGAGATTGATGACACTGGAAAATGGTTGATCTCCCGTGACCCACGCCACGCCGTTTTCAAGCCATTTAGCCCTCCAACCACCACCAAAACACTCCCCATAAATCCCTCATCAAAACCCCTCCCACTCCCATCCATCGAAGCCTTCCATTCGTTTGCCACCATGTAACGCCCACTTTGAGGTACATAGCTTATTCATGTTTATTTGCCTTTAAATGTTGTTTGTTGGCCTTAGTTAAATTGGTATGTTGATATTGTTGTGTGAGTGCCCTGAATTTGGTGAAGACTTAGCGAAATAGGGAGTTACAGACTTCACCGCGGCGACGTATGCTCTGTATTTTTTAGCCAAGGCGAAGAAAAATCTTTGCCGGGGCGAAGAGTCGACTAAATTTCTTGAGAAGTTTCTAGAGGAATTTTTCATAAGGGTAAAGTGACCATTCTACCCATATTTAGCAGGAAAAGTGGGGAGTGAAATGTAAGAAAAAATTAAGGGGTATATGCTTATGAGTTTGAGATTTTGAGAATGATGCTATTGTTAAGTATATGGTTTTTGATGAGTAGATTTAAGCCATGATAAGTGGAGTTGGTATGATGGTGACCAAGTGAAGTTTGGTTGAATTTAGAAAGAATTTGAGTAGAATATTGAAGGGCGCGTTTGTCTAAGTATTTTTATCCATATTTTGGACCGGATTTTACAAATGGTGTTTGTTTTATTATTTACAGAATCCTGTCTTGATAATTCAATCCTGACAAATTTTTTTTTTTACTGTTACAGTTTTGTTTTTTCATTTTTTTTTTCACTGCACCACCGTGACTCGATCTACCCCAAACCAACCCACCCTGAGCACCCACGCACCACCGTGACCCCATCTACCCCAAACCAACTCACCCCGAGCACTCACGCACCACCGTGACCTGATCTACCCCAAACCAACCCACCCCGAGCACACGCACCACCGTGACTTGATCTACCCCAAACCAACCCACCCCGAGCACCCATGCACCACCGTGACCCGATCTACCCGAAACCAACCCACCTCGAGCACCCACGCACCACCGTGACCCCATCTACCCCAAACCAACCCACCCCGAGCACACACGCACCACCGTGACCCGATCTACCCCAAACCAACCCACCCCGAGCGCCCACGCACCATCGTGACCCCATCTACCCCAAACCAACCCACCCCGAGCGCCCACGCACCCACCGTGACCCCATCTACCCTAAACCAACCCACCCCGAGCACCCACGCACCCACCTTCACCGTGACCCAATCCGCCGCAAACCCACACCCTGATCTGGATCAAAACGACACCCAGATCTCCATCAAACCCACCTCATATCTGTGTAAAAGGGGAAGCAGTTGCGTTTTGTCTTTGTTTGGCATGAGTGGATTGTGAATGCGCATTTCTGTTTTATTTCTCTGGGGCACACGCATGGATAGGTTTTTGTTTTATTTGAAATTGTTTTAATTGGGTTTTAATAAAATATAATAAAATATTATATTAATAAATCATTTATAAATAAATATTTAACACAAATATCAATGTTAAAATACTCTATTAAATATATATTCTAAAAATCTTATTCTCGTAATTATAACCTTATCCAATTATCCAATAATATCTTCAAAATTCTATCCAAAATACTAAATCAAACGCACCCGAAGTGTATTTTCCTGGCCAGGATTTGTGATGATTCAAGGGAGTTTTACTCTAATGATGGATGGTTTAAGAAAGAAGGAGAATTATAGTTAAAGCATAATTTAAGTATGCATGCTTGTTGTTTGATGAAATGCCTAAGAGAAACATATGCATAAGTAGAGAAAACTTAATTTTGTGCAACATTGCATATTTGCATTACATGCTTGCACTTAAGAAAGAATTATAAGCATGAGCCATCCACATGCATATATTTGTATATGTA